CTTGCTTTGTCATTGTGTCCTTCGGTCAACATAGGAGTGATTGAAGTGGTTCAGTTAGTTTATGTGCCACAAGTATTCTAAATGGTCTTAATAGTCGTGCTGTAAGTTTCAATATGTCTTTAATGCTTGGCAGAATGATTATTTTATTGTCTCCTACTCTTGATTTCGTTTCTGTTGATTCCAGCTATTTTTTGATGAAGTTGTATGGAGAGCCGTTCTTTCGGAAGACGGTCATTATATACTTTTCTCCGTATTTGTATGCTTTAAGTGCTCTGCATTGTTTCTTCGCTCTGTTGAATAACGTTTGTACGCAGTTGAGTTCTTGGGTTATTGCTACTGCAGTTGACAACTTATCAGTGGAATTATAAATAGGAAGTCTAAACTGCTCTATAAAAAACTCGATCGCTCCAACGAAAACACTTACCTAGTCTTCAGCAACTCTGATTGTTAATAACACCATTCATAGAGTAGTATATTAACTAGACCCGAGCTATGGCAAACTGATCTCTGGTGTTTCATTTACACTCCTATGAGGAAAGCATAAGAAGTGATATTTAAATTTTTTCAATCAAACCACTAATTTTCATAAATGTGGAATTTCATGAGACTCAGTTGTAAAGAATTTTAGTTGGTCAGATATCTGAGTTTTATATATTACAGTAATAAGATAGCTTAAGTAATAAACATAAACGACTTACTGGGTAACGTAATCGCTCCTTAATATTGTTACTTTTTTGGCTGAATAAATATTGAGGATATACTTGAAGACCCTATACTATTCATCAGTAGATCAATCCTATATAACTTGTCCTAGCTTTTGAATAAGCAAGCTGATTCATTCTTCTTGAATTATTCACACCTTTTTAGACCTTGCCAATTCTTTTACTGTAACCTTGGCTGTTTTTTACTTTAATGTGTGTGCATTTCTAATTTTGCTGATTGCATGTCTAGTTTATTTTTATCTGATGATAAAAACTTAATCATGCATCAAAGTGAGTTAGCCCACTTGCAATATCCGTTTCGCTTAAATTGTCTGTCTGTTTAAGCGGATGTTTGCAAAACATTTGTCCTTATAAAGACGTATCGACTTTCTCATTACCACCGTCTCACAAACAGGGTTGACCGAAACGTAATATATGGAAATTAGGTGGAATAGTTATTTCATCGCACATTCAATTGTTCGTACAAACTGGAGGCAGATTACGGGCCATAAACATACTCCTAGTCCTTCCACATTTCTATAGAATGAGGAATCATTGCTGATACTTTTGAAGTTGTTCTACTTGTTATTTAAGAAAATGAACTTTGGCCGCAGTTTCATATTGTCTGGTCGGAAAATAAGCTATTCTTTGGCAGTATTTATACCTCTTGGTCACATTTTCAAATAGGTTAAATCCTGGATGCTTTAACATCATCCTGAATAACTAAATACTAACTCCTCAAGAGAAACATATGAGGTTACATATAAGTAATTTAACTCTAGTTGTGACGTAACTGTAATGTTAATGTAAACTTTTAATACTATCATTTCGTGTTCCGAGTATAACCTTTACGAAAAAATCCTGAACAACTGATTTTTTAAAGCAGTTGGTAAAATTGGTTTTAAGTAAACTGTTTATTAAATAAAATTTATATAATTACTTCATAATCATGTATTTTCTTTTAATTATTAGTTTAAAATTTTTTTTTAACTCCGCCAGCAGAACCTTAGGGGTTACTGCCGGTCCCAAGCCCGGGTAAAGGAGGAGTGTTGGACAAGGGGTTGGCGACCCCATTCCGTCAAAAACTAACTTGCCGAAAAAACGCTAACCAGAACAAATAATTAAAACCATTTTAACTCTGCCCTGGGAGTTGGAGGAAGAATTATGACGTCGCGTGATCAAAGCCGAGTTTCCTCTGAAGTCAAGGGGCCGATTCCTCTTCTGACAACCAGAGCAACCATTTTTTTTAGGTACATGGAACGTTCGTACATTGTGGTAGACTGGAGGACTATTTCAAGTTGCGCCAGAAATGAAAAAAGATGCTCAGCATCAGTGAAACACACTGGACACAGGTAGGACAACTGAGACTAGTTTCAGGAGAACTGCTGTTATACTCTGGTCATGAAGAGGAAAATGCTTCATATACACAAGGAGTTGCACTGATGCTGTCCAAACATGCACAAAAGGCACTGATAGGATGGGAATCTCATGGACCCAGGATCATTAAAGCATCCTTCAAAACAAAGAAACAGGACATTAAAATGAACGTCATCCAATGTTATGCACCTACCAATGACTACAATGACGACGTTAAAGATCAATTCTACGAAAGGCTGCAGTCAATCGTTGAGAAATGTTCACCAAAGGATTTGACCATTCTGATGGGAGACCTAAATGCCAAGGTCGGAATGGACAACACTGGATATGAAGACATCATGGGACGACATGGACTGGGAGAAAGAAACGAAAATGGTGAGAGATTTGCAAACCTATGTGCCTTCAACAAACTGGTCATCGGTGGCACAATATTCCCACACAAATGCATACACAAAGCCACATGGATTTCACCGGATCACACTACTCAAAACCAGATTGATCATATCTGTATCAACAAAACGTTCAGAAGGACTATGAAGGATGTGAGAACCAGGAGAGGAGCTGATATAGCATCAGATCACCATTTGCTGATCGCCAAAATCAAACTGAAACTGAAGAAGCACTAGACAACGGGGCAGACAACATCACACAAGTTTAATACGGCCTTTCTTCGGGATACTGTAAAGCTCAACGAATTCAGGATAGCCCTCACCAATAGGTTCCAGGCCTTTCATGATCTACTCAATGGAGAGGACGCAACCCTGGATAACAATTGGAAAGGGGTTAAGGAGGCAATCAGTTCAACATATCAGGAGGTCCTGGGTGACAAGAAGTACCATCACAAGGAATGGATTTCTGTTGATACTCTTGCAAAAATTGAAGAAAGAAGGGACAAGAAAGCAGCAATCAATGTCAGCCGAAGAAAAGCAGAGAAAGTTAAGGCACAAGCTGCATACACAGAAGCAAACAGGAAAGTGAAGAAGAGCATCAGAGCTGACAAACGAAAATATGTGGAAGATCTAGTAAGGACGGCGGAAAAGGCTGCAAGAGACGGAAACATGAGACAATTGTACGATACAACGTAGAAACGCGCTGGAAACCATCGTAAACCGGAACGACCAGTGAAAAGCAAGGAAGGCAAAGTAATCAGCAACACTGAACAACAGAGAAATAGGTGGGTAGAGCACTTTAAGGAACTATTGAATCAACCAGCTCCACTGAACCCACCCAACATCGAAGCAGCATCCAAGGACCTCCCAATTAATATTGGCGCAACTACGATTAAGGCCATCAGACAAATCAAGAGCGGCAAATCAGCAGGACCATACAACATTCGAGCAGAGGCAATGTAAGCAGATGTAGAAGCAACTGCGAAAATATTTCACATCCTCTTCAAGAAGATTTGGGATGAGGAACAAGTACCATCAGACTCTAAAGAAGGATACCTGATCAAAATACCAAAGAAAGGCGATCTCAGCAAGTGTGAGAACTACAGAGGCATCACTCTTCTTTCAACACCAGGCAAAGTATTCAACAGGGTATTGTTAAACAGAATGAAGGACTTTGTAGACGCCCAACTTCGAGACCAACAGGCCGGATTTCGTAAGGATCGATCGTGTACTGACCAAATTGCTACATTACGGATCATTGTGGAACAACCAATTGAATGGAACTCACCACTCTACATCAACTTCATCGACTTCGAGAAAACATTCGATAGCGTGGATAGGAAAACACTGTGGAGGCTTCTTCGACACTACGGTGTGCCTGAGAAAATAGTTAACCTCATACGGAATTCTTATGATGGATTCAACTGCGAAATCGTACACGAAGGACAGCTAACAGATTCTTTCGAGGTGAAGACCGGTGTGAGGCAAGGTTGCTAACTCTAACCCTTTCTCTTTCTCCCAGTGACCGACTGGATTATGAAGACGTCAACAAATGGAGGCAAGCACGTATTTAATGGACAGTTAGGACGCAGCTGGACGATCTGGACTTCGCAGATGACCTGGCTCTTCTATCGCACACGCAACAACAAATCCAAGAGAAGACGACCAGTGTAGCAGCAGCCTCTGCATCATCAGGTCTCAACGTACATAAAGGAAAAAGCAAAATTCTCCGATGCAACACAACATGCACCAACCAAATCACTCTTGATGGAGATGACTTGGAGGACGTTAACACCTTTATATATCTTGGCAGCATCATCGACAATCATGGTGGATCGGATGCAGATGTGAGGGCGCGGATCGGCAAAGCAACAGCTGCATTCTAACAGTTGAAACATATCTGGAACTCCAAACAACTTTCAAACAAAACCAAAATCAGGATTTTCAATACAAATGTGAAGACAGTTCTACTGTATGGAGCGGAAACATGGAGAACTACCAAAGCCATCATCCAGAGGATACAAGTGTTTATTAACAGCTGTCTACGCAAAATACTTCGTATTCGTTGACCAGACACCATCAGCAACAACGAACTGTGGGAGAGAACAAGTCAGATTCCAGTGGATGAGGAAATCAGGAAGAAGCAGTGGAAGTGGATAGGACACACATTGCGGAAAGCACCTAACTGCGTCAAAAGACAAGCCCTCAAATGGAACCCTCAAGGTAAAAGAAAACGAGGAAGGCCAAAGAATACATTACGCCGAGAAATAGAGAAAGATACGAGAGGAATGAACAAACATTGGACAGAACTGTAGAGGGAAGCCCAGGACAGAGTTGGTTGGAGAAAACTGGTTGGCGGCCTATGCTCCATTTGGGGTAACAGGCGTAAGTAAGTAAGTAAGTAAGTTAATTTTTTTAAAAATCTTAGTCCACGAAAAGTATTAAAATGATTGTATAATTTTATAAAAAAATTTGAAATGTGACACATTAAATATATATTATTAGAAGAATATCATGATAATTTTATACTAACTTGTAAATTTGTCAAAGCATTCATTTCTTCCAAGAGGCATTGTACCATTGGTATATTCTGTCGATTGACAGCCAAATGTAATGGAGTTTGCCGTAATGCATTTCTAGCATTTATATCTAAAATTTCTTCACTGTCAAAACTATTATTATTCTCATGTATTGGAGAATTATCGTCTAGATCGACAAGATTTTCTTCCACTACATCATTTTCTTCTGAGACATTCACCAATCTTAATGTTACATCGGTATGTGATCGCATTAAAACTCTTAAAATATCAATATTTCCACTTTGAGCAGCTGCATGAATAGCTTCATTATCGGTGGAATCTAAATTTCTACGTCTTGCTCCATATTGTAGTAGTAAGATGACACAAGCTAAATGACCAGCTTGACAAGCAGCATGAAGTGCAGTCAATCCACCAGAAATCCCATTCACCTATGATAAAAAATTTCATAGAAAAAAAATCCGTACAAATATTATTCAAGTTATACAATTATTTAAAATATACACTAAAAACTTCATGCTTTAAATAGTTCAGTAACAAAAGCTCCATATGTAATGAGTTTTATCCAGATTTGAACTTTCAGTACAAATGTAAATAAAAGTTAACACGAATTTAGTGAGGTGGTAAACTGAAAGAAGGCGTAAAAGCGAAGAAATGTTTCTTTTCGATGATATTATTTTCTAGAGTTGTAAAATCGTATGTATAGGTAATCGTTCACTGAATAGTCAGCAGTAAAATATATTAATTTTACAAAATTATTAACCATAGACAAACTTATTCAAGTGGAAGATGATGAATATGAAGTGATGTTGCTTAATATGGTCGAGATTATCAAAAGGACAAGTGGATATCATTTAAGTGTTATTAATCTTTCAAGTATTAAATAAAAAAAAGGTTGCGTCATTCAGCAAAATAATCGAAAATCAGCAACAGCTTGCGTTATGTAGTAGATTTAGAAGAAATAAGGGGTAAAAACCTATAGAGTGAAAGTTAAAGATTATTGTCTGCTTTGTGAAAGAAGAAAAGACGAAAGTAATAATCAGCACTCGTAATTTGTAAGAATCTAAAGTGATGTTAAAACAATGGTAGAGCAAGGGACTGAACATGACTATTCTGTACACAGAGGTCGCGTCTGAAATGATGATATGCACAAATTCTCACCCAAACATCTTTTGAACCGATTCTTCTCACCTTTCAGAGGATCTTGTAAAATGAATCACGCGATGGGTTATGACTTGAGTTAACCAAATTTTCAAGGATTAAGATGCTGATTGAATAGAATTCTCCTTTATAGATAGCCATCTAAAATAGTGCTCGGATATTCGTTAACCAACTGCATGCAATATACAGCTAAACGGTTCGTAGCTTTGCCGAATAAAACGTCTTTCTTAGAGATCTGGATAGTCTGTTATTTAGAATCTCACCTGACGTACTTCCCTTGAATTCTACGCTCAAGAATAAAACTTCCTTCGGAACAGTTATAATGCTTTCAAACTGACGTTTAGGTTTCAGTTTACTGTCACTTAATCTGGACAGGAAGCTACTTTCCAGAAGTGTTCGTCATACTATATTCAGCTCATTGTCTAAAGTGTCTTCACTGCATATTCATCTAGATCTTGGGATAGAGAATGAATTGAAACTACCTTCCTACGCAGTAAAAGTTCGTATCCTGACCGTTCTAGGTTGGCTTTCTGTACATCGATGTTTGAAGAGATTCATATGGTCGTCGTTTTAGTAAAGCATAAATAAAATGGAATCCATAATTCAGCTTGCTTCGAATGTGAATATAACTGATTGGTGAAAATTGCTGAACTCTTGCATTATTTATTAAGGTCACTGTCTTCATCACGGATGACAGAGGTATCACACATACGTCTCTTGTGAAAATAAAATTTATCAAGTTTTCCTCAGAGAAAAGTATTCTCAGGGTTGGCCTGAAAACAGTCTGCTAGAAAATGACCCAAAGAATATTCCATTGAAATAACAATCATTTATTTGTAGAAATTGTCATTAAATTTAAAGCGCATTCTGAAAGCACAGAGGAACATTTGTAAATAGAGAGATGACAACTAACGATATACTTTTCTTTGCCGATACCCTGACGTTGATTACTAAGTCCACGAAATTGAAGGAATCTGGAATATTGCATTTACAGATCTGGTTTCTGACTGGTTGTAGAATTTTCATCAACCATTTAGCGAATGTGTGGTATGAGGAATTATTCATATCCATAGTCTAATGAAGAGGGAGATCTTCCTTATGTACCTTCGGCAGTTTTTACTTTCAAAGTAGTAAAGCGTTGACTCCTAAGGTAGATATGACGTGAAACTATATTTCATTTTCAACCGTCTGCCTATATATATATATATATATATATATATATATATATATATATATATATATATACATTGATGAACTGATCAAAACAATGAAGCTGTGCATAAAGATTTTTAATAATAATTGGATTTAGTCCTTCAAATTTTTTGATAAGAGTAATCTTTGGCTACGATGATGTTCTTACAGTAATCACGCAATCAATCCATACATAACATAATAAAATATTGCTAATGCAATTTTAATGTCACAAGATCAATATTTTCTCTTTTGTTTAGCAATTGCTTATCAGTTATATCTTTTTGTTTAGACGCTTCATATTCAAATGTTACACACACATATTTATATAAATTGAATGCTTTTTTTGAACTTACATCTGCATTACGATGCTGCAAAAGGCATTTCAAACGTTGCACGTTTCCTTCATTGGCTGCCTGAATTAAATCTTCAGAATTGTTGCTGTGAGTTTGTACATCTGAACAAGCTTGAGAAAAAGAAGTCTGGTTGTGAATTTGCATACCAGCATTACATATATATATATATATATATATATATATATATATATATATATATATACTGCTAGTTCACTAAAATGTCGGAAACTAAGTAACCATGGTCTAGTTACAACTAGTCAGATTCGCAATCTACTATCAAAATATATCTTTTAAATATGTAAACTTTATTCCAATTGTCAGTATTTTCAGAGACATTCTTCTTATCAATGATTTTAAGGTAGAAACATATCTAAAAGCTTCTTTATAGGCACTAACATAAACAGAGCCATTTTTGCCAGCTCTCACGTATAAGGTATCACAAAAAGACACCTAATAATAGTTAATAAATATATTGTACTTAATAAATAAATTTTATATAAGGACATAGTTATTAAATATCGGATGTGATCTTACACACAACGTTACTCTTTTTTGTGAATCGTATTGTAAAACCTAGCATTTATTTTAATCATGAATCGACCAATGTCAGATTACCATTAAGAACTTGGAAAAACTAGACGGCCGTTTCATCCTATTACGGGACTCATCAGCAATGCGCATCCGTATCTTACCAAGCGAAAGTGGAATCCAGGAACTTGTATCTCGCGTGTGAACGCCCAACTTCTTGACCAATGAGCAGGCATCTGACAGTGATCGATTTATGATTTTAATGAAACTCAACAATCTCCACAACCGTATAATGATAAAACCTGACATTACCAAAATGCAACTAAGAATTAAGTAAATCGAGTGAAAATATGCCGTTACTAATATGATAGGAAAATCTTACTAGGTATTTCGGTGTTTAGTTGTTCAGAATCATCACGCGGAGGTGTATTTGGGCTCATATCCAATGGATTTTCAGCTAAAACAGTTTGTAGTTGATTGTAAGCAATTCGCAATGATCGTGGTCCTGCATCAGTATGACGTATTCTAATAGTTTGTGCTCCTGTACTATTGTTTTCTCTCATAACCTCATCCGGTAATGCCGTATATCCACATATTATATCATGATTAGACGAAGAACCACTATGCGGTCCATCTCTAGTATGTAAGGTGATAACTCTCCCACGATTAGTGATTGCAACCTATTGGGAACAAATATTTTAAGTTTCATATATGAGATACTGAACTTGTAATATTGAAAAAAAGATGCTGGAGCCTGTTTATTAAAATCATCAGTTTAGGCTTTCCAACCTTTATTTTTTAAGTAAACAATATTTAGTTTATTGTATTTGGATTATGGCTGGCAGGCGAATTACGGAGATCAATATGCTTTATGGTATTGTCTAAGGGTGATAAGATTTATCTTCTGTATACAGCTATAATATATCACTGTTGTATCAATTGGAAATAAAGAAGATTCACTAATTAACATTGTATTTTTAACAGGAAATTTTTCAGAAATAATAAACCACTAATGAAGATTTGTGAGTTATTAAATAGACTACTAAACAATAGTTAGTAGTCAAATTTTTTCGCTAAATAATAAATATCCTTGAAACCCAAGGTACAAAAATTCACCTTAGGAATGAATGAAGATGATAGGGCAGAAATACTGCATCTGAGGGAGATGAATTCCTAGGATTTAGGTCCTGAGAAGACTTTTAGCCGTCCATTTTAATACACTGAAGGTTCATTTCCACTGAATATTAGGTTACGGAACAAATCCTAAATTTACTAAGATATTGACTTCTAAATATTAAAAAGTTTATTTTACCTAGTGGCCTACTCTTTTGACTTTGTATTCTGCAACGTAGCTCGCCTACTTTTATTCAGGTACCAAATACTAAGTAAAAACGGCTTTTGTCCCACAACATTGTCAACAGTCACTTCCATCTTAATTGTCTTAACAAATAGTGTATATCAAAAACGGTGGTTGACTGATAAAAAAGAAGGATATCTCAGAAAAGTACTCAAATAAACAGGTTCTCTGTGTAAAGAAAATTTATTCGTAATCCCACACCAAAATAATTATGTGCATGCAAAACAAAATTATCAAAATACAATATGTATGATAGTACAACTTACTCGTGATTGAGAATTTCTACATTGATTGTGCGAACCTGAAGAAATATTAGGTTCTCTGGCATTTTGATTAACTCTGTGATCATTTGGTGAACATTGTATGCTTGTTGGTCGGTTGTTACGGACAGTTGTCGGCATATGATCATTATTATGCGAACGAGAATGGTTTGTGGAATGGTTTTGTGTTGTTGGATTTAAATTACCTCGACTTGTGGGTGCCGATGGATTTAAAGAATTAGTTCTCAAGAAATCAGTCAGTAAAGTACGAGCAGTTTGGCCGAAACTTCGTAGACCACTAGAACCACTTGATATGTTGGCTGTTCGTGGAGAAACTGGTTCTTCTCCTTCTCTGCTAATAGACCAACCATATTGTGGTCGACTTAATCGAGAATGTGATCGTCGTGAAGTAACATTAGTGGTATGTGAACTCTCAATTGAGGAAGGTTGTAGATGTAATCTGCTTGCAAGAGTGCAAACATTCAAGCAACTGGATGCTGAGGGCTCTTCACCTGATAGCACGTTACTGTTTGTTCGATATCCGGTATCTGAACATTGCCCACTATTTGAAGAAGCGCATAATGTTTCATCATTGCTATGAATTCGACTCCGATAAGTGCATACATCTTCAACATTTTGAGTCGTTTGACGGCGACGAGATTCAAGATCGTGAAGATTGGTCCAATTTGGAACCACTGGACCTCTCTCCAAGTCATGTCTTGTTGCAAGAGACACTTCTCTGTTCGATTCTTCAGGCACACCAGACTCGTCGAAGTATTGTCTCAAGTCAGCAAGAAGTGGAAGGTGATCAACGTAATACATTCCACCTTTAGAAGGCCTGATCGCCTATGCACGAGATGCAAATCAAAAAACAAATTAGAAACAAAGTTTTTTCAGACCGAACAGGTTTATACTATACTCAATGTATACCCATTGTATACTCATTTGAAAGTGTAAGTAGTTTGGTTAGAATCTCAACTGTTATGCATTATTACTGCGTTGATTACATAATTGTTAAAATTCAGATTATTTAAGATAACCAATTACATCTCAGAGAATCTTCTATATACGTTGTTTAGAAAATTCAAAAAAATAATAGTAATCGCCTTACACCGATCGTAGTTGTCGGTACCCTGACAAGACAAGCTGGAATTGTAAAAGTAACCTGAAGTATTTCATATTTTTCATCTATTAGATTCACTATAAACCAGGGTCACAACTCGCGTGGCTTTCAATATGCAAAAATATAAACCAGGAGTTTTTTATTCTTTGAAAAAATACGTACTTACTTTCAGGTCAACTAATCCTCCATATCCAACTCGGTAGACATTATAAGCTCCACTATCCCAGGCAACCAATGCTGCTGACCGCGGTGCCCATTGATACCAATCTCTTCTACCAGTTATACGCCCTTGTGTCGGTAGAAGGATTGGACCGGCTGACGTTTTTTCGTTGTTTGAACTCAAATTAGCCCTGCAGGCAATAGCCGACCCTGTTGGTCCTAATAATATTGACCCAGTTGATGACGATGTTAGGGGTGAAACACAATCTTGACTATCCCAGCTCCAGTCTATACCCCGAACAACTCGAGCTTTGGGGAAAAGACCTAATGATTCTATACGCCTTTGCTTCAAACGCCGACCAACGATGACTCTAGTTGAAGAAGTGAAAATAAAATTTCGAATCAGAATTAGTGAACAACTTCTGCGGCTTATGAACTAGCTAATTTAAAATGAAAATATGATTGGATGAATACTGCTCAGAGTTAAAACGAGAAAGTATAGAAAAGTATTTTACAACTTTGAAGGCTCTATTGATGCAAATTACATTATGGTCTTATAAATAACAGTACTTCGTACAGTGATTTAACGTTATTAGCCTTTCAAAAGTTTATAATTAAAAATAAAATGTTAATTGAGGCGATCATAAATCTAAGGCAGCAATGTAGCAGCTTAATTAGGTAGACTGAATGTATTATCATCTTACAGAGAAACATGAAGCTACTGGACTCGCTCTAGCAAGAGCTTGCAGGAGACTGAAGAAACCCGAATTAAAACAAAGCAGAATTCCAGTTCCTAGTGGTTTTAACGATTCCCAAGTTGATATCAGTTACAGCCAATACACATCTAAAGAAAACACCTCAACTTATTTTATTTATGTGAAATAATAAAGACAATGAAATCAGGTGACATAGGAAACTCACTACAGAGAAAATATAATACTTGTTACATGCACTGATCTACCTGGTATTGTCAACGAATAACTTAGGAATTTTCGGATTAAACACTAATATTCTTTGAAGTATTTTCTTTATTGCACTTGATTTTCTCAAAACTAATTAACGGTAAAGTTAAAGGTTTCAAGACCACTTTCTAATTAATTTTTTGATAGCCTGAAACTTTGATTAGGGATTAAACATGAAAATCTTTCATAAGATGCAATTGAAACCGGGCATGAAAATTAACATAATTGCTTAAAAACACTCTGTTTTTACAAGGCCTAGTTTCCTGTAACTTCTGAATACTTGTTAGTAGAGGTAGATAGTGGCTTGCAGTGGGATACGGGATGCAAAGTTTTACTCATTTGATATTCGTCAACCGGACGAACCTGCATCCCAGAATTTACGTTCATTACGAGACTCGAATCCGGTACCGTTCACTTCAAACAGCATTGGCTTATTCATTCAGCTACTGGGTCCTGACAGTCACTGGCTTGTGCGATGGGGTGACGTTTCAATCATTTGTATTGGTTGTATGATCTCCCCGCTGATGTTTATAACTGCAAGCCATTGATAGTCACAATCCACGTCTCCTAATAATGCTTTTAATCTAAAAGGCAATATCGAAGTAATCTGCGGAGGATAAACATATGATTAAAACTCTAATCAACCACAGTCCTAAACACCAATGGGAAGATTCCAACAACCAATGCAAATAAATTCTGACTACTTAGTTTTAGAGAGACTTGAAAATCCATTGCAACACTTATTTTTGTTTATGATCGTTTTTTTGAAACAACTGTAGTATGGAAATATGAAACCACGTAAAAAAAAATAGGCTAACAATTTATCATAAAATTGTTTAAATTCATTTACAGTTCGTAAAATGTGGAGGTCTTTGGATTTTCACATCATACAAGTTTTTTGGTCGTGGGTCATCAATAATAAACTTATTTCAGACAAGGGAGCATTCACAGTTCACTATTTTAAAATGACTATTTAACACAAGTTAAATATTTCTGAAGATTATATTTTAAATTTAAAATAATAGGATTTTTGAAAAGCGTTTCCGAAGTGTTAACAACATAGTAAGAAATTGTTATGACCCCATAGTTCATTGATTTTATCTAAGCTTGTCTCACTCTCATGAAAATCAAGATACTTATCGCAAATATAAATAAATTTTTTAATTAGAAATTTATCAATTAATTATTTTTTAAATCAACACTTCAGCTGTCAATTTATCACATTTTAATTCTTGAGTATCTCTCCTCATTAATTTATCTGTAGTAGTATCAAAAGTATATATTTACAATCCACGGTTGAAAATGGTCACATTCTCTACCATTTCCAACTATCCCTATTGACTGCTGTCATTCATATGTAACACGAAACTTGAGACATACATGTATCGATTAACGTTACCCAATCACATTAGCTCAGATGTTAGAGCGAATCTCAGAGTAGTGAGAGTAGTAATGGTGTGTGTTAATAAACAACATATGAACAAAAAATGAATAGGAAAGTACAAAGTGATGGTACAACTCAGAAAAAGGAGAGAAACGCTGAATGTATCTGCGCCTTGTAACGGATTCTGGGCTATGTCCACGCAAAGTTTCCAACCAGAATAGTTCAGAATCAAACAAGGCAGCATCTACTTATTAGCAAAACTCAATCTATCTGTTAGGGACTCAATGGACTGATACTATTTTTCGATATAGCCACTCCTAGCTTTCTTTCAAACTACTGCAATACCGTCCAACTTTATTCGTCAAAGTAGGTAGTTGGTGACGGTACGTGGCACTGGTCCCAACTTCCTAGTCGATGAACACTGACCACCTTATCAGTCAATTTGTGAACCTCACCTGGTTCCCTTCCTTCAACTTCAGAACTAGCTACTCGGTTTTCAAAACATACTCTAGAGATTTCTTTAAGGCATATTTGATCAAGTAGACTAAAGTTACTCTCTATTTCAAAGTCCACGTCTCGGATCCATGGTTTGGAACCAAAGAAATGGTCAATTTTTGATATATTTGTTTTAAGTTACACGTAACTCAAATCAGCTAAGCAAAATAATTATTTTGAACCTTTGCTGAGATTTATTCATACAGTAATATACCAGGAGTGACACTATTCCTAAGACAAGTAAAGTGGTCTGAGCACCCTATTACTTTACTTTCTAATACTAGTTTGGGCGCTAACGCAGACCATTCCTGAAGCAACATTTTGCCTTTAGAAGGAGACAAACGTATTATTAATATGATCAGACGACTGTACATTCTGTAAAAATCCCCACTGAACAGAATTTCCTCATGTACGTGTTTTAAACCAACTACTGGGCCCCAGCAAATACTAGACAGTAGGGGCGTTATCTCTAAAATAATGAGCATGAAAAAAGTTAAATAAAACTAAAGAAACCAGACAAACCTAACAGATGTCACTTGACGTTATCGATATTGATTACAGCTTTCCGTGGGCTATGGCTTCACTAGTATCATTTGAATAGAGATCCTACATAATGATCATGTTCCTCTTTTATACGCCTTTAAGTGACAGATACTACCACAAAACCTTTTGGTCAACTGACCCGAATACTGCCTGGAGAAGTGAGGATCTCACAAGGGCTAATATACAAGTATTGAGGTATTTCTGGTTGATTACAGTTACACAGAAATAGTGAGCTGAATTCTAGATTGATTAATAATTACAACAAATAATTTTTCAAGGCATTACCATTGGTAAATGTATCATCAACTGGGCACAATAAATGTAAAAATTGTAACACGGAGAACCGAGATAACCATTCGAAGGGATTATGTGAGATGTAGGCTGATTTTTACGTAACAAATTTATCAGGACATGAATTAAAAAGTTTGGCTGCCACAAACAGAAAAATCTGATTGGTATTGTGAAAACTAGGTATAAAGTTAAAAAATGAACACTCACCTGGTTTTGTATGGTGCCGTTATCCTCAAGAATTGGTGAGCAAGTGAGTGCTTATCAGCATGATAACAAGTGGAACATAAATCTGTACTTAAACACACTACGCATTTCCATCGAATTCCATAAATTGGGGACTGAAATCATAGATCAAAGTTGGTTTCATCCATTATAATTTTGAAATAGAAGTAGAAGAAAGCAAACTTTGTACAGCTTGTTATTATTTTCAGGGTATGTGTATATTTAAAAAGGACAAAAACGAATTTAAAATTTTTACTGAGGTAGTCACAATAGGCCACACGTTTTACTTCGTAAGAAACAAACGATTTAAAGTGAGATGTTGTCCATCTTCCGTGGACAGAAAAAATTCAGTCATAGATAAGGAATCTGTTAACTAATTGATAGATCAAAGACAGATACAGCAATTGAAACTTCGAAACAGGACACCAATGACTGAATACCAACTACCTGAAAACCAATTGGTCAAGTTAGAGCTTCCAAACCACACCCATGAATTGGATATGAAACAGCTTTCCGATTGATCTTTTTTAGTGCACGTTCCAAGATTTTTCCTGCAAACTTTCAGGATCGGAATTATATTCATTCGGTGCTCTGATAAAAAATATGGAATATATATCTTTCATAAAATCTAAATAAAATGTCCCATTTTTCCTAAACATACTGCATGTTACTGTCATAGATATCATTTAAATGACATGTCCTGAACTAAACTTAATTTTTATCATCAATTCACGAAAAATCAAAGGCAAATATACATGAGTTGCGACTGTAAGCATTCTTTGGAGCATTTTTACAGGTTTAACTACTTCTGAGCTGTTTAAACATCAAATCATAAGGTGGATATGGTATATAAACACAACCGAATGACTCCTTGTATTTTCTTCTTCTGAAAATGAAACACACACTTCAATCTTTTTGGTCATCTGCTACTTTCATGGATTCATGAATTCCCAAACCAATTCTATGAAAGATTAGTTTACTTGAACTGTAATACTCGGTGATCAGGATTTCTTTTTCATAAAAAACGTCAGCTTTCTCACTAATGTAAACACTCTTTAATAACTGATACGAACTAAAAAAATATTAGATTCAGAAATCCCCGCTAACATTTACTAAACAGAACTGTTGCACAATCTATGGCTAAATACTAAGAACTGATTTTGTTCTTGTGAACATCGAAAATATAAACGCATCTGTCTGTAGGATTTAACTTAATTTCCATATTCATAAAATTATGATACAGTATAAAATAGTTGATATTACATATCTGGTCATTCAATACCAAACGATTACGGTGCTGCAGTCAAATTTGTAATCGAAGTAAGTGGTTCACCATGGTTAGTGGCAAAACCAAATAAAAATATAAAGATGTTTTGCTCGGAACAACGAGACATTTGTTTATGGTTCGGCATTTACAGAATAAACTACATATTCACCCCTTACGAGATGCATTCATGGAGAGAGCGGTAAGGATCAACAATAAACAAGTAAGCTTCAGCAGCAAACCAGACCAATTATAATGATTTTTACAGATGGTTGGGTTTTTTTACTATGTATAAGTAACGCAGAAGACCATAACAAGTGGTTTACGCTAGAGGAATTCACACTATAGGAAGAGAAAATACCAGCTTAGCACCTTGAAGTCCAGGCCACAATAAATATTTCCTGAATGTGTATTGTTACCTGCTGCGGCATATTGTTAAATTTCACTAGTTTAACTGAAAATAATCTAAATTAACAACACTGGTGTCACAAGTTTAAGAAAAATAAGGTGTGTAAGATGATAAATAAGATTTGAAACTAAGGCTAATCCAAACAATAATCCAATTTCTTACCTCATGGCAACCTTCACAGATGGTTCCAGGATGTTTTGAGCCTGTTGGTGCACTGTCCAATACACGCAAATCAAATCCAAGAACACCGCAACGATAATTTGCTACAATTCCAGAGTCCCAAACAACAATAGCCTCTCCAGACGTATCAAATCGTCTAACTGAACCAACATGACCTTCTCCCCCATCCTAAAACTCACATAAAATAAATTGTATCGCTTAAATGATGCCTTTACCACCCAGATTCATCATTTAAATCGCTAGCCATTTTGTGAACGAATGCACAAATCATTTTGCGAAAGTATAGGTACTCGATAAAATATATTTCACGACAGTATGAAGGTTAAAATGTATCACTAGATTAGCAAACGTATTAAAATCATGATGTTACAAAGGTAACAGCTAAGTATTCAAACCAGATATCCAATACATTTTTGACAAGCTAGTATTAACCGGTCGATTTCTTTGCGCTCAATTCTTGTTCTTTCGGGTTAAATGCTCCTGTTAAATTTCATCCACATACTACAATGATTCAAGAACCTTCATTTACTGAGATTTATTTCATTTAAAAATTGTCCACAGTAGTCCAATGTGCTAGGGTACAGTTGGCAATGCAACTAAATCCCTTCATGATAATAAAGTTCAAGAGATAATGAAAGTTATAGTAACAAGTCTTAAATAACATAAGTAATAAAATTATTATGTAAGCTAGAGATAACATTGAATGTTTCCGTGCAATTACTGAGAGTCCAGATTTTCGAAGTTCTGTATCACAGACTATCTTTGATCAGACAACCTGTGGAAACAAGCAAGTCCTGAATGGCTATTTCGTTATAGTATGAAACCCCTCATTAGTGTTTGTCCACGACCTAGACTGGAGACCTGAATCATGGTGTTCATATTGCATAGATTTCTATTTCGAAAGGGCTCTACACTTTGTTTTTGATAATAAGGAAAGGATATCTGGAATAAAAAATTTTCAGAAGGGTGACTAGCATCCAAAACTAAAACATGAACCAGACAGGCATTTTGAAAGTTAGGTTCAAAAACGAATTACTCATGTGGACTAATGTGGAATTACTAATGTTGAATTTTCAAAACTGTGATCAACTACACGAAATCAGCTAAACTTATGCGATTTAAGGCATGGATAAGGGAAATCAAAGTGATCCGTTAAAGGGTTAACGATAGTTTTTACTACGAGGAAATGATGGATTAACCTTAACCGTAGTGTGCTGAAAGTTAAATTGTCTTAATCGGTAACATATTCTGACAAGAAAAGTCATGAAGACTAATCGTGATGTTATTAATATTACCTGTTTGTTCCACTTCCAATCAGGTCCACGAACAACCCTGCAACCGACTCCAGTACAGTATGTGCCAGCATCATGTAGTTCATTTTCAGAACCATTTTCTTGTTCAGAACACCTCGTCATGCTTTTTTAGAGTGTCATGTTATAATTCATAATAAGAAATAAACATCTTACAGAGTTTGAAAATGTTTAATGAAGAGTGGAGTTTTGTTTAACGATTTAAACAACAACTGAGTGCTTAACCTCTAATACTCACTATTTTCTCTACTAGCTAGTATAAATAAATTTATTTCCTTGCTATCTATTAACGTTCATTCTGTACGGCTCCAGGTGTATAGTCGTGTCCAAAAGATAGCAATCTAGCAACTCCATATTACTAATTCTAGTCAGTTGGCAGCCATTTATAAATTTGTACGTCGCGTGATTTACGTGATTTTGTTCCAGGGCAGTGTGGTTTTGGATATCAGCAACTATTACAGTACCGGTACGAAGATCAGTTAGTTGGAATATGGAGAGTAAAAGAAGCAAAACTCTAATGCTAATAAAAAGATTCCAGAACTAAGTAAATAAACAGATATATAAGGTAATTAGGTCGTATTGCAAATTATGTAAGAGTACTGAAGTGTAAGCAAAGAAGAGGAAACATAGATAATAAGCTAGATAAGATAAGTTGGTGATGTGAGGAAATAAGAATGATAAAAACTAGCGAGTTTCGAGAAATGCATTATCTCTATGTGAGTACATGTTTATCAAGACACTTCTTGAAGCTGTCAGGTGAGACGGATGAAGTCACTTTCGCTGGGAACGCACTGAAAGTTGAGACAGCTCTTGATGATTAAAAGTGAGAACATACCTGGGTGTCTAGCAATTTTTCTACTGTCACTCCGCTATGTATAATTGTAGACGTGATTAGCAGCTGAGCCGCTACAACTGAATTTTTTAACACAGCCTTCAGGTGAATTGCAACAAATCATTTGGCAACCTGACATAGGTATATTTAGGAAATAGAATGTTAGAGTGTGTGATATGATGGTCTAAGTTGGCTTTTAAGTAAGCTTTAACGTACCTAATGAACCTGCGGGATACAAGAAAATTTGCGATGCTTTATTTCGTCAAAGCTTCGCGGTTCTTTTATATCACGAGCGGCACTTCTGTTGGTTTTTACAGGATTATTGACGAAATTTAATTGAAGACACTTACTTTAACATCATCTCCACATAGCGTCAGGCAGTAGGCACTAAATTGTTTGTACTGTTTGAGGGCATCTCACATTTCACGTAAACTGAGTGTCATATGATGCACTATTCTACTCTCTATATAGTTCGGCAAGGCATATAAAGAAATGGTAATGTCGCTTCAGCCCATAATATTGCTAGATTTTCGTTTCAGATATGTGGCTGCTTTCGTCACGAGCCTGAAGCCACACAGACTACCGAACACCTGAAACCGTACCGAAAGAACAAGAATCAAGGGCAAACAAACCGAATCCTTTACACTAGTTCGTGAAAAAGATATCGGATATTGATTTTATCACCCAGTAAGCACCTGAAATTCACCTGCGTATATTAAAGTAAATGGTAAACAGAAATAAGTGAACATGCTAACAATCTGGAAAACGAAACTTAGAGTGGATAGCGTGAAGATTTTAAACCATTGAATGATAGAAGATCAAAAAATTAATCCACAGATGTTTGTTGGTAAGTTTTATGTTTTAAAAGCTGTTCAAGAAGCTTTAAAGACAAACACTGTACATTTAATATTATTTTCCGTCTACAGTACACCAAATCATCTCTCAATGTAAGCAGTCTCTCTCCGAATATACGTTGTCTTCGTTCAGCCTAGGTTACTGAGTTTTACTAATACTGAACACAAGGTGACCGGAATATAATGATTCACAATCGTTATATGCATTGTTTTCCGTCCATGTTCCGTAATACAGTGCATTCCGAACCGTATCCACATTATGTATAGGTAGTTTACACTCATAACAAGCTTAAACCATGGAATCTTTTTCAGCAAACGATGCGATTGTGCAATCGAAAATAACTTTAACCAATATGCAGCGTATTCGGAAGGTGAGAAGTATATAGAGAGAGCATTTTTAAGCAAATTTGTCAACATGCAATCCGTGAATGTGCTGACGCAGTACATGAGAATACGAGAATAAGTAATATAAGCAATTACGTTTTATAACTCCAAATTTCATTACACCTGAGATCAATTTACTTACAATGGTAACGAATATTGTCTTCATTTTAGTCAGCTTATTGGGCCATACGCTGTGTGGGTCCATTGAGGAGGATGTTTGGGGTAAATTAACCGCTTGGGTTCGCATAACTTGTTTACGCATTTAAAAACGCTGTTAATAAGTTTAACAAATTGTACATTACCAGGTAAAGGCAATCATCAGGAAATCCTAAGGTTTTCTGTAGTCTGCCTAATGAATTGTATGTTTGTTTGATACTATTTGATACCGAAATAGACAAACTTTGAGTTAGCATTAGGTGTGTGTACCCCTCTTTATTTAACCTAAAATGCGTTCACAGTGTACCAGCAATTCAAAATGGAATAATCGTGAAACAAAACCTGCATGTTTTTGGTAATATGAAATTCAAGTGAAAAATTAATTTAGGTAGTGATCTAAGGTAGCGAGCCAAATACCACCTACCGAAACTACAAACTTTTGTTTCACAGTGCTAATGTAGATATCCATCAATGGTTGTACTGATTAGACACGGAGCAAATTATTTAGTTTACATACTTCAAGCATTCACAAATGTCACTCCAAATGCCACTACAATATGACACCCCAAACTGTTATTATTCTTTAACTCAAAGACAGCTTGAATAAACTTAGGAGTCTGCGTATGCTTGCATGACGAGTCCACTTTCTAAAGACGTGACAGTTACAAGCCCCTTCCTGTAAACAACTTTGTTGGTTAATACCTATCAGCAGAAAATAGCCATCTGGAATTTTTACTGTCTACCAACTAGGTTTCCTCATATAACAAGGACACTAACCACTCAGAAGAGCAGCATGTTCAAAATGTAGCTGTATGAAATGTGAATTGGACGATAGTTTAATTTTAAATGCATTCATGAGAACAGTTATGGCTTCATTGATTCTGTCGTACATAAATGGATGCAGATATCGAAAGATGCAAGATTTTTAAGCACATAAATCTGAATTTGATGTTCCAAAATTCAGATAACTGAAAACTCAGTTATGATTATTTTAACAGTAGCTGATTTCCAATATTTTCAGTATATTTTTCCCTAGCTAGTATAAAACGATTGATTTCTTTGTTATTGGTTGTTGATCTTTCATTAAGGTTCCAGTTATTTGGTAGTCAAGAATATGCGGTTTAGCTAAATTTAACTAAAACATACTAAGCCTATGCAGTATGACGTAGTCTTTATAACAATTAAGCCAAGTACTTTATTCTTCACAATAAATTCGTTATCTTGAAAGCCATCTGCATTACACATGAGCCTGATATAGAACACGCGTAAATGTTCCAGAAATAACAATAATCAAATAGTCTCTTCTTTCACATTAAACTCCAAAGTTCACTGGGAACTTACATCCAAACAGTTAAAGGATCATTTACCGGTTCGGTATAGTAAGGTTTTTCCCGTGACATTGAGTGACGCGGCCTCAATATAACCCAGGGCCTTTTGACGAAATCGCTCTCTTATATTAATGAGTTAGGAGGAGAACTCAAAGTTGGAAGGAAACCGTTAGGATCTGAAAGGATTGGATACCATTGGCCTTTGGAATGTTAGGTATAAGTCATCTATCCTTGGAAGCCCCATGCCTTGCTTTTTGAACTCACAAGTAACTACTGACTGGATATGAGCTTTGCAATTATCACTCATCAACTTAAATCTTAGCTGTGAGAAATATCTTTCTGACTTACGGTAAGATCTGGTTTTGGAATTTTTTGCGATCATTCGTTGAAAACCTTTGATGCCTCCCACAACTTTTCAATGCGGTTTGTTTCAATGCTTTCAAACGCGAAGTTATTCGTCCAGATAATTTCCGGTGTTCTTCGGATACTAGAGGTGATAGTTACTTTTTGTTTTAGTTTTTTGCATTTCTGACATTTTTTCCTAATTTTTATCATTCTCATCTGGATCACTGTGGTTTTACCCAACATTCAAGTTACAGCAGCTGCCATACTGATTCATTTTCCCTTTGCTTGTTTTGCTCGAACCGATTAGATTTGCGTGTAATCTGTTGCGAATTGATGCACGCTTCTGAACTATTAGCAACCAGTGTATTTATTAGTAACTCTTAATGCTTTCTTTACCGGTATTTTTATAGATTCAGATATTAACTTTTGAGCGACCTGTACTTCATCTATCCAGAAAGGACAGAATAATATTTCTGTATTATTAAAAACGTTTATCCATTGGAACTGGTAATTAATTTATGCCCTTTAACAGTTTGTTTACTGGATGTAATTTAGAGTTGATTATTTGAGTCTGCTGATCCATATTTGTTTGAACGGTAATATTTGTTTAACCAATGTATTTTATGTAGAAGCGTGATTTACTCAGACACCTTGTTTTGAATTTGGACTGGGCAAGGGAATGAGTGTCTAAACTAGCCCTCACGGTTACTTCTGACTCCAAACCGCTTTAGTTTGGACGCTACACAAAGATTCCAAACAACATCAATGATTCCCTCAAGCGAATCGTTTGGAGTGTTGTATTAGTATGCTATTACGAAGAGAACACAATTGCTGAAACGGAAACATTTATTATTATAAACAATTATACCTGTTACTGTTCTATTGTACGCTTTTTTGTTTGACTGCACTAAAGACCACAACTCGCGCGCCAAGCGTGTTACTCTCATTCTCCTCGTTGGTTGTTAGCTGCTGCTCTATTCCGGTCTTGATTTCATTTCCATATCACGAGACCACGGATCAATACACCTTATCATCTGGTCATAGTCTTCCTTTTGATTTGTGGATATAACGGGATTTCATTTGGTAATCTTGCTACCAGAAGTTCCAATTTTGCCACAATAGGTGAGCGACGACAACCAAAACGTATTAACTACGGTGAGTCTGTCATTTCTCTATCCACTTTTCCTACTATTTTAACCGTTGTATAACATACATCGTTTCCTTCTTATATATATAATATCTACAACAGCTTTTTATAAAGGTAGACG